AATAGTTGACTGCCCACTCTTGCCCCTTTCAAACAGTTTACTGCCATAGCTTCAGTAATGCAAAGGAAAATCTCCTCTAGTCTCTAGCTACTCCTTCTCAATATCCTTTGTTTCATTTCCTTTTTCCTATGTTTAAATGTGGAAGATTCACTGGGTTTAGACCAAAGCTGCCTTATCTTCTGTTTTTTTTTCCCCCCTTAGGCAACTCATTTCCTACTTCAAGGCTTCAATGATAAACTATAGGCTGACTTCCCAAGCTTAAAGTCCAAATCTCTTTCCTGAGCTCCAAACTTGCATATGCAACTGCTTGCTACTAGACATCTCCACTTGTCTGTCTCCCTCTTTTAAACTCCATGAGTTTTACTTCCCCCCTTTCTTGATACTACCATACAACCTCCTCCAATATTTCCTAACTTAGGTTAAAAAAAAAAAAAAAAAAAAACTATCTATGGAAATCAGCCTTCTCCTTTCCCTAGGCTCCTAATCTAATCTTAAGTATCACCAAATTCTATCAATTTTACCTCACAAATATTTGTTAAGTCTATGACTGTCATCCTGGACTAAAGATTCCATCATAATCTCCTACCTATTTTCTTTTTTTATGGTGGTGCCACACATGGAACACACAGGTCCTTGTGCATGACAGGCAAGCGCTCTAAGAAACATTCCCAGTCCTCTAGATTACTCTTTAATAGCTGAACTCAATGTTATTCAAAGTGTAGTCTGTGAACTAATACTGGCCCACAAATTTTAGAAACTTTATATAACAATTTGACAGATCAAAACATACATTTTATAGGTCACTAAAGTACTAGTACAAACTGAAAATTCAAACAGAATTGGTCCTTCACACAGTTAAGTTTGAGAAGCACAGGTCTAAATTGGGGTCTCTGCATTTACACTTGCTTCTCTCCAATCTGTGCTCTGCAGAGCAGTCAAGTGATGTTTTTCATGCAAAAATCTGTGTAATTTAGTCAGTTATTAAACAGTGGCTTCCTGTTGCCCTTAGRGTTAAGTACAAAATGCTTACCATGGATTTTGGCCATTGTGATCTGCTTTGGCCTCATTTCAGATAAACCACCCTGTGGTAAGGTCCAGTCTCTATTGAACCTTCCAATTCTAGAAAATTGAAATAGCCAGTATCACTTGGGTAACTACCCTTCACCTTTTAGGTTACAGACTAAAATCATCTCTTCAGAGAAACATTCTCTTAAGGATGAGTGGGCTTTCATTATTTAAATAATTTTCTTTACAGCAGTTATCATCTAATTATTATTTTTTTGTTTAATTTCTTTATTTCCCCACTGACTTTTGTCTCCACGAATTCAGTTGCCCTCTTTCATTATCATATGTCACTAGAACCTAGCAAAGTACATGGAACAGATGAATTGTTCAATAATTTTTGCTAAGCAAGCAAATCCAACTCAGGAAACAGTGAGTAGAGGAAATATAAATGCCGGGGCTGGGGATGTGGCTCAAGCGGTAGCATGCTCGCCTGGCATGCCTGCGGCCCGGGTTCGATCCTCAGCACCACATACCAACAAAGATGTTGTGTCCGCCGAGAACTAAAAAATAAATATTAAAAACTCTCTCTCTCTCTCTCTCTCTCTCTCTCTCTCTCTCTCTCTCTCTCCTCTCTCACTCTCTCACTCTCTCTTTAAAAAGAAAAAAAGAAATATAAATGCCTTCAATATCTGGCCATATGTAAGGCTTGAGATAAAATTGGGTACCAAGTGCTTTAGAAAAGTTATATCTTCTTTATTGATCTTAAAAAAAAAAAACACCTAAAAAGACAGGAAAAGTCCATTGTTCCATTAAAAACAGGATTTTCAAAAAGGTAAAGAATTTTACAAAGCAGACAAGAAAGTGACAGGTCTAAGGGTAATAGACTCTAGAGCCATACTGCCCGGCTGCATTGCTTAATGAACTTAAGATTTTGTGGTAGTTAAGTAATCTGTTTTCCAAAGTCCTCATTTGTAAAATGGTGGTATTAACAAAGCCTTCTTTAAAAGTTTACTATGAGTTTAAATGAATATTTAAATTTGACAGTGCTTGGTGCAGTGTTCTGTTAGCAGTTATCATTATCATTAACAGTTCTCACTTAAATTTTTTCTGTTTGTCAATGCCATACTAGAATATAAATTACAAAAAAGCAGARTTTGTATTATTATTATTCCCTGATAGAGCTGTTTCCCACCAGGGTCCCACAGGAATTATGGACTATGAAAACTCATTTGGGTTACTATTTACTCATTTCTCTCAAAAATGGTATACAACTAGTATCATGAAAGGTACATAGCAAAGTAAGTAATATAACTTGATTTTTACTGGGACTATGACTAAGACGGGCCACTCTCTTGTATCCCTAGTGCCTAGCATACAGCAGATGCTCATTAAATACTTTTGGAGAGAATGTATATTTACAAAACCAAAAAACTAATGAAATGCAATTCTGCACTAAAGGTCAATTTTATTCTACCACTTCAAAGTTTCTATAAACTTCAAGAGTCCGTTTCTAGGAAAGTCATTTTCTTCAAGCTGTGCTGCCCATACCATTCAAAGCCAAAAATGCAGAATGCAGACACTAGGCAACAAAGGAACAACTACAACAACAATAACAACAAAAAAAAACAATGTTGGCAGGAATTATGCAGTAGTACAAGGTAGAAGACAGGTAGAATATGGATACCCAGGAGAGAGCAAAGGATATTTTAGGCCAAGAAACAGCCTTAGCAAAGGCAGTATCACCCAAAGTACACAGCGCCAGGCAGTACAAAAATGATTTTAGGTTATAAATGGTAAACATGTTTATTTTGATAATTATGTACCCATTTTACATGTAACTAGGATGCTAAATTGATATTTCAGATTTTACTATTTAGAACACTGAAGTAAATAATACCTACTTAGATTTTAAGTAAATCATATAAAAATGTATTAAGTAAATAATGATGCACATGAGGAAAGCAAATATGGCAATACAGCATTTTAACAAGTTAATAAAATCTGATAAATACTGAGCTAAAGTATGTGAATGTCAAAGAACATAACAGGTTTTGAGAAAAAGTACCAGTCTTCTAAATGAAGACAAAGCTTTCTCCTGCAATGATTCAAAATAAAAGACAGATACCCACCAGCTTTGAATATTTCACTTCCAATACTAAAATTGCTATGCATAAAATCTTCATTTTCCAGTATGATAAATCTGCTACATACTTCAACTTCTCACTTATTCTCAAAGTGAAGTTAAAATTTTACAACTTCCAAATAGAGAAACAAAATAAGAAGTGACTTATCTGTAGCCCGACAATTCACTTGAAAACCAAGATCTAGCCCTCCACTGGGTAATGCAAGCCTATAATCCCAGAGACTTGGGAGGCCAAGGCAGGAGTATCACAAGTTCAAGGCCAGCAATCTAAAAAGACCCAGTCTCAAAACAAAAAAATAAAAAGGGCTGGGGATGTAGATCAGTAGTAAAGTGCCCCTGGGTTCAATTCCCCAGTACAAAATTAAAAACAGAAAATAGGGAGCTAAAATCTTGCCTTTTTCAAATAAAGAGAAATTAATACAGTAATGAAATAATCTAATCGTAACACCAGAAAGGGTGTCAAATAAGAGTAAGAAAACAGCATTCCATTCTCACCTTCCTCTCAAAATTAACCTAATAGCCAAATCCAGTCAAGCTAAGAAGCTAATATTTATTAATGAGCCACTGTTCTAAGTACTTTATTTGTATTAACATGTGCAATCCTTACTGCCCTATGAGAACCATCCCATTTTACAGTTCAAGGATACTAAAGCCCTGAGAAGTTAAATAATTTGCCCAAAGCCAGAGCTGGAAGGTGGTAGAGTAGAGGTTTAAATCCTGACAATTACACTATAAAATCTGAGCCCTTAACCACCAGGCAACATTTCTCTCAAGAATGATGGGATAATCTGAAATATCCCACCAGTTCCATCATGGTGAAGAGATGTAATTTTCTAAGGTATAATCCTTTTACTCCTTCAGTTTCCTATCCAAGAACCAAGATTCCATTATAAGGAAGAAGGGTATTATATTGGGGCAAACTAGGCCCAGGATTATGCAAATACAGACCAAAAAAAAGCATCAGGAGCTTCAAAAGGATGGCAGAGGGCTTAATGATAATGTTCACGGTCTTGGTTTTGGAAGATTAAGCAAAAAGTTAAGATAAGCAGAAGATTAATCTTATTTCTGCTGGGCTCTATGACTGCTTTGAGGGAGAAAATTCTACTACCCCTTTCCTTTATGTTAGTCAGTGCACAAAAACAGATCCGAGAGGAAGATTTAGGGAAAAGGGTAGCAGCAAGAGAGCAAAGCAGAGTCAAATTTGGTTCTTCAAGACTTGGATCCCTGAACCACACGGTTAGTTTAATGTACCCTTATAAAAGTGAGAATTTATGAGATGGCAAATGTGTGTTTGGAGACTGAGGACAAGACCACTGGGTAGAGGCATTGAGTGGTCTGGAAAGCTGAGAACGCACTCTAAAAGGAGCTAAAAGAACGATACTTTCAAGGGTCCGTGCCTGGGATGAGGAGGTATGGAGGTGGACGCTGTGGGGCGGCGGGGCCAGTTCCTCCCTCAGGGCAGTACGCAGGACGGGCAAGAAAAGAAGGTATAAAGGGGGAGATACACAGGTATGAGAGAAGGGAGATCGGCAAGAGTAAAAGGGGCGAGGTCGTGGAGAAAATTAAGGGGGCTATTGGTAGGCGGAGGCTGGGAAACCAAGCAGGGACGAGGACATCCCCAGAGGAAGTAAGAAACACCGGATGGAGGGCGGTCCGGGGGGCGGAGGATGGGGCTGGAGGCAACCCCCGTGAAGGCCGAAGGCGCGCCGCARGAGCCGGGCTCCCGTTCCAAGAGGGATGCGGGCGCAGCGAAGGGCCCGGAGAAGGCCGCCGGGCCTGGAGAAGGGAGGGGGAGGGGGAGGAGCGAGCGACCCGGGCCGCGCTGGGACCCCGACGGGGGAGGGGCACCTACCAGGACTTGCGGGGCGACGGCGAGCAATCCTCGMGGCGGCTGCTCTCCGGCTGAGGCGGCGGCCGAGAGGGCCCCGGGAGCCGAGGTTGTGACGGCGGCGGCGGCGGCGGGGGCGATGGCGGCGAGTCCCTGTGGCGGCAGCCTCTGCCGAGCCGCATCCCTCCGCCCCAGTCCACCCTCCTTCCCTATCTGCCGCTCCTAAACTTCTTCTCCGGGATAAACAAACCCGCCGCCAGGGGCGGCCGCCTCCGCCGCTCCCGCCCCCGCGCGCCCCCCCACCCCGCCCCGGGCCCGTCCGGGCTCCGGCTTCCGAGTTACGACTCCAGTCCCAGCCCAGCCCGGGAAGGCGCGTGCGCGGCGGCGGCTCGCGAGGCTCTTCCTGCCTCCTTCCTGAGCCTGGCACTTCCGGGCGGCCCGGATCCGCCGCCGGGTCTTGGAAGCCGCCGCCTCTGCCGGGCCCTGAGCACGGAGCCGCCCCGGCAGCCATACACCAGAGAGGGCGGGCCTCGCTTTGCCGGCACTCTACTCTCTCCAAGTAGGAAAACTTCCTTGCTTAAAAGCCCACTCATATAGGCCTCCTAACTTGTCTAATCCKCTGAAGGGAACCTGTGCACGATTCCCACGGGGTTGTAGCAGTCTCTAGAAAGCCTAGGTACAACTTTTGAGAGCTCCTGTTGCGATCCTAGAACTCTGGGAACCACCTTAACACAAGACAGCTGTACAGAGACAGCCACGGAAAATCGAGAACACTGGGTAGACAATTCAAAACAATTCTACAGTTTTCGGCTGGAGGAGATGTGTTGCAAGTCTCGGGCCAGAAGAGAGGGTCTGCGGAGATGGTTGGGACGTGCTGAAGACCTGGAGCAACCCAGGACTGGACGTTGGTACTTCAGCAGATGCCTGAAGAGAAGTAGTATCTTCAGTCGTTTAGAGTTTACAGAAAAGGGTGACAATAGAACTTTTTTATTCAGCCCGCCCGTGGGGCGAAACACTTTTCTAGCTGACAGGAGTCAACCTCACTAAAGAGGTTTTAGGGACCACAAGTTCCTGTTTTGCCAGTGCTGACATGGAGTTCACTCAAAGATTTCAACTCTTTTTACTTTATGCATCAATCAACGAATTACTTACCTAGCTTCCCTAAAAAGAGAAGAGGAACAAAAAATTAAGTACTATATGACAAGCACTGTACAAAGCATATATATGTATCATTCTCTTTAATCCTCTCAATTTCTATATGACTTCATGGTAGAAATTCCTCCCATCTTACAGAAAAAAACGAGGATTAGAAAGGACAATTGACTCAAAGATTACTAGAGTTTAAGAACAGGCAGATACCCCTCACTTTAATACTTGGCAGTATTATTCATGTAGTTAGGATGCAACATGCTTGGGATAGAAGCATCACCAGACTTTTTCAAAAGCAATAAGGTCGACTTAACCAGAGCTCAAGGTTGCCTTGGGTTGAGTAGATTGAATGTTAATTCAGACCAAGGAACTCTAAAAGTTAAAACATAAGTGGAAGTGAAATCTGGGGATATAACTGTGGTACAGCGCTTCCTCAGAAAGTGCTTGCCTAGCTTGTGCAAGGCCTTGGGTTCCATCCCCAGCACCACAAAAACAGCAGCAACAACAAAACTAAAAGCATTGGGGAATGTAAGAGGAAACATTAGTGCAAACATTTCACCATCTCTAAACCCCAACAAATACTGTTTGCTATACTCATTGTGAGTCTTATTATTTTAAATATGTGACAGAGGCAGTGGAAGTTATATGTAATTTTTTAAACTATTTAAACCCTGAATAGTATATCAACCCCTTTTCCACTAATTAAATATTAAGCAACTAATAAATGTAATATGTCCAAGGAATCAAATTATAAGTCCTTCAGGTAGCGTTACAATTGGGAGTTATGATATGAATGATATTTGCTGATTCTTTACAATTAACAGTTCAGCCTGGGGATTGATTTAATAAACTTCAGCCACAAGGATGTTAAATTGTCACTTAGGGTGTTTCCGTAGTCACTTCCCTAAGCTATCACCTTGCCCTGGTGTTAGTTAAGATATGCCATTCCTCCCTTCCTCACAATATTCAGTGACTTTATCCACTAATAAAGTGACAGTAAGTAGTAATATCAAGAATGAACATGGCTAGTAAATAATAAAACTGTGATTGTTTAGCAAAGTAAAAAACTACTTTAGCTGGTAACCCCAGCAACTCAAGTGGCTGAGGTGGTAGAATGGCAAGTTCCAGGCCAACTTGAGAAGTTTAGTGAGAYCCTGCATCAAAAAATAAAAAGGGTTGCATGGCCTGTAATCCCAGTCATCAGGACTCTGAGCCAGGGGAACSGCAAGTTGGAATAACCTCAGCAAATTAATGAGACCCTGTCTCAAAAAAAATAAAAAGGTTGAGTATGTAGCTCAGTGGTAAAGTGCTCCTGAGCTCAATGCCCCAGTTCCAAAAAATTAAAATTAAAAGGATTGTGGTGTAGTTCAGTGGCAGAGTGCCCCTGGATTCAGTCCCCAGTGCCAGGAAGAAATGGAGGGAGAGAGGAAAAAGAAAGCAGGCAGATGGCTTTATGACCAATAAACTTGTATTAAATCTTCATTTTATTCAAGTTATATTACCAATCCACAAAGAACTTTATATATTTTTGGTCCTGGGAATTGAACCCAAGAGTGCTTTACCACTGAGCTATATCCCCAGCCCACTCCTTTTTTTGTTTGTTTGTTTTTGAGACAAGTTCTCTCTAAGTTGCTGAGGGTCTCTGTTGCTGAGGCCACCTTTGAACTTGTGATCCTCCTGCCCCACAGCCTCCTTGCTGGGATTATAGGAGTGTACCACTGTACCCAGTTGAGGTCTGTTTTTTGTAGAAAATCATTAATATTCCTCAGTGTATGTGGCTTATCTGGAATTCCTACTTAGCACATTCTCTGAATTTGCTAAGTATACATGAGCTCTAGACTTTTGGAACTCCTTTACCCAAACTGAAAAGCCAATCCATCTTCCCATTTTGGTATTTTAGTGACTGAAGCATCCTTTTTCTCTTTTGTAAATTAAAAGCCTTAGGATGGTCACATTCCATGGCTGGGTGCTGGGTATGAACAATGGAGTCAACACTCCCTGCCATGCCACCTTCTGTTTTGTACTGTCATTTAAATTAACTTATTAGCAAATATATGACCCTTAGGAATCTTAAGTGATACACTCTTCATACTTGTGCCCCCAGACATTATTGCCTATACCTTTTCCCAAATATGGTCTACCACATTCCTATGCTAGTCAGCTGGTCTCCACATATTTTTCTAACTTTTGTCTTATATTATTTTCCCCTTTGTCTTATATTATCATCAAGGGAACCAAACTCAGCCATTAGTGCTATAAGCTAATACTTATGATCATATCTTTAAAATGACTTTGGCTTTTGGAAATAATGGTAAAGAAAAGGATAACTCATTTGTTAATTTTTTTGCATTTATAAATATTAGGCCTTTTACCTGGAAATACCAAAATCTATGTTTAATAATTTGTAATTTGTCATATATGAAATTTTGTTTTCTTTTCTCATATCTGTTTCTTTCTCCATCTCAGGCTTTTGCCCTTCCTTGAAATTCCTAGTTTGTGACACTTTTATTACATTATATTAATTTTTAAGGATATAACCAGCTTTAGAACTCAARCATATATATTGTATATATACACAAGCACATATATTGTACATATTCACAATCCTTGTGTGGTGATGCCTACAGCAGAAAAAAAAAAAAAAGTTCCTAAGTTTGATGTACTTTCCACTCAGAAGTTATTAACAAAGAATTCTTAGAGAACTGAGAAGAGGGCCAACCCAGAATTCTGAAATTAGGACCATTTTTTAGTTTTTTAGGTTCTTCATTAACACCCTTTCTTTTATCTCCTCAGCCACATACTGTCAAATGTTTCAGAGAGATCCCTCATTTCAAATTAAACAAACACTCATTCATTTARCATTTGGGTTTTTGAATAATGTGTCAGGTCAGTAGCAGAGATTTGTTTTTATTCTGTTAACATGTGAAGAGTAAAAGGTGAATTGCAGTTGAATAGTTGGCATACTGCTACAGTTTATAGCCATTCAAATATTAATTTTAATCAGGTTTAAAATATTTTGGGGATTCTTGAAATGCTAGTAATCCCTAGCTTCTGAATCATTAAGTGCCTAATGAATTAGAAATGGTGACATCTAAAATTGGGAATATATCATCTTGGAAAAGTCTTTGGTCATCCTACTTGTGGCTTCTCAAGGTAATATCTGAAAAACAATAAAAATGATTTCTTCAGGATTTCCCAAGAACCCTAAGCATTCTTCTGGGCATCCCTTGAGCACTCTCATCCTAGGTTACTTACAGTTGCTGGAAGTCTTACTGTGCCAGGATCGAGGTGGTTGCTGCTGCCATGATCCACTCCCTGATGACCTCTCTTTAGCTAATCTTTCTCTCTTCTGGTGCCCTGGCCCTGTTCCTTCTCTGCTTTCAGGTAACCTGAGAAGTTACAGTTGACTCTGTACCCTGGAGATAACTGCAGGGGAAGCCTGGAACTCTCCACTCTGTTCTCCAGCCAGAGGTCACCAGCCTCTGCAGCAGCCCTGAATGGCTCTAAAAGTGTAGCTGTTCAGTCTCCTCCTCCTCTTTTATCTCTGCTCAGTCATCACAATGTCTCCAGGTCAGGGTCTGTGGTCCCCTCCCTGAGAGACACACCCTTCTCCCTATCAGGGCAATACCTGGTTTAGAAGTTTATTTAAACTTCTGCCCTTGACCTGCCCACTGGGTAGTTCTCTATCTTTATCCTTTTTCTTCTCACATTGGGGCCACTTTACCCCATTTGCCTCTGAACTCAAGAAACGGGAGCTCCCTATCCTRTTTCTCTGCCTTGATTGGATCTCTGATTGGATCACCTCCTGATTCTCTCAGACTCAGGCCTGGGCCTCTCAAAGAAGAAGCATATAGAATTAGACCCTGTGCTCAGACCAGCAATCTAGAAGCATAGTCCCTTTGGTTGAGTTTCTGCTGTGTTCCTGAAATTACCTTGCAGCTGGACACTAAGTGAATTTCGGAGCCTTGGAAGCTCTGTGCCTTGATTGGCTGATTTTCCACTGATCTACTCTCCTACAAAGTACTGCTAATTCCTCATTTCCCTCCTGCTGCCTCCCTACTCTAGTAATCAATCCCTGCTGTCTCCCTTTTCTCAATTCTGCATTCATACCCRTATATAACAGGTAAGTAGTCATCTGCCTCT